ATATTTGATTATGTGTGAATAAATCAATGTCAGCTACCTATGTGGACCTAATCCTGCAGTTCCAACAATTCATTTAGTGACTATTCAAAGTTGAAACTGAAAAAAATGACTTATGACCATTTTTCACATTTAATGGCCATTTCAGTATCCCTATGGTCATATGATCAAAATTCGGATGCTTGCCAACTGACTTGTATTTATGAAGGCTGGAGTGTAATGGAATCATGCAATCACCTTTTGTGACCTGACAAGCAAAATCAATGGGGAAGTCAGATTTATTAAACAATCACGCAAATAACTTAACAACTGCACTGATTCACTTAACAACCATGACAAGAAAGATCATAAAACTGATTGAACAACTGTCTTGCTTAGCAATTGAAATTTTGGACTTATTTGTGGTTGTAAGTCAAGGACTACCTTTATAACAGAGTTTTCCAAGAAAAATCTATGGAAAATGATACCATATCATATGATTGAGGGTTAAAAGAAAGGTAACTATTTTCATTGTTCCTTTCCCCAAATATGTCTTCTAAAATTAAAATAAAGTTGGATCAGATATTTCAATCTGCTGTTTAGTTTAATTCTTGAATTTCTAATGTAAATAAGACTGAAATATATTGTCTGATCATAATTATAACATGAATACTATATTATTTCTACAAAAATTTTGCTTCAAAAATAGTGAAAATATTTCACATCTGACAGATTGGATTAAATAAAGATTCTGAAATAAAACCATGCTGTAGTTTATTCATCTCATTTGAAAATTATATTCTTCTAATATTTATATTAAGATTGGGGTAGAAAGCAAAGTCTCTTGTGGTGTATATTTTAATCAAGTTATCAAACAACAATGTTTTGAGATGCAAAATTCCCTTAAAGTAACCAATAAATGTGCAGAATTTTAAAATTATTTTTTCCTGGAAGATTGCCATTTGCATAATAAAATCAAAATTAAAAATTTAACTTTGATTAGAAATTTTTTGAGTCAAATCAAACTCAGTGGACACTTTGGAATGTGTATTGTATGAAATAGTCAGGATTTTTTTTCTCATAGAACGCTCAGAACGGAGTTCTGGCACCTTTTTTTGGATGGAACCTTGGAGAGTAGGCAAGGCAGGTTGTATGATGTGTGTGAGTTCTGACACCTTTTTTGTTTTTTTAGAAAAAAAGCACTGGAAATAGTTAATGTGTTGTTTGAGTGAAACAAAATATATTAGTGATTTTTTTGCTGTATATTTTAATTAATCATTTGTTTTCTAATTTAATAGTGGAAAATACTACAGTAGTTGAAACTCAAACTCATATATAGCACATTCCCACCTGTGCATAGCTTTTCGTACTGGGATTTTTAAACACACTAATTTTCCCAGCTGACTGTTTAATGTATTTAAAATGAAGAACATAATTTGTTGTTGTTTTTGCTGGATTAATTGAATACTGTTAAGTAATAAAAAGAATTTTTAGTAATTCTTTCTGAATATCATTTAACCTTTACTTTTGACCCTCAGGTGAATAAGAGCAGAATGGAAAATTATCATAGATTCTTTTCCTTGAACTTTTCACAATATAAAAAAAAATGAAGGGGAAGAAAAAAGCAAGATTCAGTTACAGTATTATATTTGTACAGCTGTATCTCATTGAATTGAGGCTTATGTTACACACAGTTTGTGATAGGAAGTATATGCTTTTAAAACAACTAAAGAGACAGATCTTTAACCTCCACGCTTTTTAGATTTCTTTCAGTTTGTTCATTTAGCTTCTGTCATATTCCTAGGAAGTATTTCAAATGAAAATTATTGTGCACTGTTGTAGTTTGAATGAATAACTTAGTGCCTAATGAACTAATTATGAAGGGTGGATTAAATTATTTTGTTTTCCTTAAATATTGAAATTTAAGAATACTGTATACTTGAAAAGAAGATTTTGTTGTTATTTTTTTAAAAAATCTCTTAGAGGGGATATTAGGCTTTCTTTTCCAGTTTAAATCATAGTGGCAGAGGGATCTAGCTGTATAGCAGCGGTTCTCAACCTGTGGGTCGTGACCCCATTTGGGGTCGAACGACCATTTTACGGGGGTCGGCAAACAACGCGATCCGCCATTTTTCCCCGCCATTTGCGTGTGCGGCACATCCTTATGACCGGTGTCGCCGTATAAAAAGGTTGAGAACCACTGCTGTATAGATTGTGAGTTACAACCAAGGGAGTGTAATCCAAAAACAAACACTTATTCCTGGCAAAAGCCCCTCCTCGCAGCGTCTCCTTAAATGTTACTCTCCAGGTGAACCTCATGAGCAAGGGTGCCCCCCTCCCAGGTAGTTGCACTGACTCTGCCATCTTTCCATTGTTCGCACTTGGGAATTGGGCAGACGACGATTTGCTCATTCTGGAGCTCCAAAGCTCCTCTGCTCTGCTGCCTGCCCTTTCTGTCTCCTCCCCACTTCCTTGATCAGCTTGAGCCCTTTCTTCCTCCCTGCCTACTTTTCCGAGGCCCGATGGACCTGGGACTGCCTTGTTCTCATTCTCAGGTCATTCCTCCTGAGTCATAGAGACTGCACCATCCCCTGCTCCATCTCCTCCTCCTCCTCCTCAGACTCAGACTCAGACTCAGGCTCTGATGGGACCATGACACTTTATATATTTTACTTACTGAATTATTATCAAATACCAAAAGAAAATATAACTACAATATGAAAAATCAATAAAATGAGGAATTAATACATTACACAGAGATAGAGGTAGAGATGAAACTAAGTAACATAGGTAATCAAGATATAATGGAAGTAGTCATATTTGAGAAGATTTTAACCATTCACTGAAATATCTTTAATCAATTTGCTTGTAAAAACCTTACTAATTCAGGGCAAACTGTTTGTCCAAAACAGTATAGGGTTTCCTGGTTGAGCAGGGGGTTGGATTAGATGACCATCAAGGTCCCTTCCAACTTTATCATCATCATCATCATTATTATTATTATTATTATTATTATTATTATTATTATTATTATTATGTTTTCATTAAAAAAGCAATACTAACGTGGAACATTCTGTGGTGCAAGGGATAACACATCTGGATGTACAAGATTGCCTTAGTGACTTTGTCTGAGAATATAAATATGTATTCAAATATCAAGTTTCTGACTAATTACCCTTACTAATATCTTCAAAATTTAAACAGTAAACAGGTTAGCATAAACACATTTCTATGCACAAAAGGTACTTTGCTAGAAAAATTTGTTTGGAATGAGAAAGAAATACACTACAGAGGCCTCTTTTAAAACTTGACACTTTGGGTATAGGTCCAAGTCAAGAAGTTTCAATTGGTTGTCTAATACATATTTTTCTGGACTAAAGGGATACACTAGGTCACATGAAAGACTACTCTTTTTTCCTTCAGAAGAAATGAAAGTCAATAAGAATAGACTGAGTCTCATCACATAGAATGTGCTTAATTTAGCCTTTCTTACCCTGGAAGAACCAATAAACTATTTTTACCCTAGAAGAACACAAAAGTACTTCCCAGATCTTTTGATGCCCTGTCCACAAATTATTATTAGCTACATACGAAGTTCAAAAAAGCCAATTTTTTTTTATTTTTTCCAGTCACGATCTCTCGTGGAACTTCTTCTGTGACTTCTCATAGAACCCCAGGTCCCCTAGAGAAAAGCTGGTTATCCCAATATTTTAAGCAACTCATTTACATGTGGACCTCTATGAACCTTTCCTATTATTGAGGAAGATTATTGGTATATTTTAAAATTGCTGGGAACACGTTACTGTTATCTTAAGAGAAGATTAAATAGATTAGTTACCTGGACACGTGCATGTTTGCTGCTATATACTTAACCCAACCTTGCCTTGAAATCTTGTCTCAAGACTTTCTGTAGTTCTTTTTGTTCTGAAGAAAGGCATCATCTGTGACAAATTGCAAAAAACTCTGTAAAAACATCTGAGATGCAAAACAAACAAACAAACAAAAACTGACGGGACCAAATTAATTGTTTGCCTCCAATAATATAGGTTCACCTTTCCGTGACTTGAATCTGTCGGAAAAGCCTTCTTTAATTTAAATTTTCAATCAGAGAATCAATTTGTGATAAATCCCATTTATTTACCATTTTTTAAAAAAAACAATGAAAGGTTCTTGTATTCTATGCCAAACTGAAGAATTCAGAGATTTTTTTGGACTTCCTGAATAGGAGAAAAAAATACCTGATTTTTCTGCAGCAAAACATAAAACATTTAACGTCAAAGGAATGTATGAATAGAGATCTACCTAAACCTAAAGAGTATGTAAAAGGAATTTCAGTGAAATAAGCAACATAGATTTCTTTATTTCATAGTTACTTTTAAATTCAAATACATACTTATAAAAACATACAGGTCTGTTAAAATGCTTGTTTCTTTCCTTTACAGATTTATTTTTTAGACATTCTTTTCCAGGTTAAAAATAAACAATTTTCTAACAATTATATAATTAAATAGACTGTTGGAAATAAATTATGTATATAGGTTTGGATGTTTGTGTGTTCATCTGTCTTTCCATCATCAGAGTAACTAAAAACTGAAGTTCGGTATGGCAGGAAATGCTGGCAAAAGAAAGACTGAGTATGGAAATGGGTTAGTTCAAGCAAGGGGTCCTATAGAGAAATATAATCTGTTTCCTCTTGAATACAAGCACATCTATGTACTCAGATGCAATATGCTATATTATTACACAGAAGAAAATAAAATGTTTCCTACTGCTATGAAAGGAGTTCTGGAAAGAATTCTGCATTCTCTGCATTCTGTCAGGCATTCTTTTCCAGAAGTAAAAGCTAGGATATTGATTGGACCAACACTTTACATATGCTTTCCATAGATTGGAGCATCAGGTATATTTCTAAATGCAGAATTTCTGTGTACATGAAAGGGTATATTTGCTTATTGCTAGATTTTAAAAATATAAATTTCATCATAATATTGCATGGCTCACAAAATCTTTTTCTTTTATTGCAGAGATTAATTTTTTATGGGCTGGACATCAAGTACATCATAGTTCTGAACATTATAACTTATTCACAGCATTAAGGCAATCTGTTTTGCAAAAATTTGCATCATGGGTGAGTATGTCCAGTGTATAGTGCATGTCAAAGACAAAAAAAGAGTAAAGCAATTAAAGATTTTTCAGAGTTTTAGAAACCATAAAAATCTGTAAATTGAACTAGAACATTTTTTGTATTTAGATACTACAGAACTAGATGTACAGTGCCCTTATGTATGAAGATTTCGTTTACATGTCCTCTGTGCCATTCTATGTATACTCAAGAAATAATATTCTGAGTAGAAGTATTATTCAAATGGAACTTTTTTTCAGTTGAGATAAGTTTAGCATCAAATTATGATGCATCTGTTCACTTGGGCATCAAATTAAAATGTGGTCCTGATCTGATTTTTAAATTATTTCCATTTTCAAACTCATTTTAATAACGAGACATGATTTAAAAATAAAATTTAAAAATCTAACTCCTTAGATATATTATCTGACATACTAATATATTATTTGTCCCTCTCTCTATGGTATGTAGTACACTAAAAAATAAAAAAACCTCAACCCTAGATTATCATGAAATAGCATTTACTCAGTGTGTCCAATAAAAAAGAGAATAATTTGAAAATTATTAATTTGATAATTAACTAATGAAATATAGTAAGTGTAATCAAAGGTAATAGAAACAGTGAACATAACTTATTTTGAAATGTTGGAATTTACTATATGTATACATTAAAAAAAATAAAGTGGGTATTAACATATTTATTTGTAACTGATGAGAATTGTACCAAAATAAAATAGTAATAATAATAGTAGTAAAATTGGAAGGGACCTTGGAGGTCATCTAGTCCAATCCTCTGCTCAGGCAGGAAATCCTACACCATTTCGGACAAATGGCTGTCCAGTCTCTTCTTAAAAACTTCCAGTGTTGGAGCATTTACTGCTTCTGGAGGCAGGCTGTTCCACTGATTAATTGTTCTCACTGTCAGGAAGTTTCTCCTTAGTTCTAGGTTGCTTCTCTCCTTGATTAGTTTCCACCCGTTGCTTCTTGTCCTGCCTTCAGGTGCTTTGGAAAATAGCTTGATTCCCTCTTCTTTATGTCAGCCCCTGAGATATTGGAATACTGCTATCATGTCCCCCCTTGTCCTTCTCTTCGTTAAACTAGACATACCCAATTCTAGAAACCGTTCCTTATATGTTTTAGCCTCCAGTCCCCTAATCATCTTTGTTGCTCTTCTCTGTACTCTTTCTAGAGCAGTGGTTCTCAACCTTTCTAATGCCGCGACCCCATAATACAGTTTCCCATGTTGTGGTGACCCCCAACCACTTATACATCACTGGGTGCCAGGGGCGTGGCCAAAGAAAAGGAGGAAAAAAATGGCGGACAGCCTTATTTGGCGACCCCTGTGAAATGGTCGTTCGACCCCAAATGGGGTCCCGACCCACAGGTTGAGAACCACTGTTCTAGAGTCTCAACATCTTTTTTACATCTTGGTGACCAAAACTGGATGCAGTATTCCAAGTGTGGCCTTACCAAGGCATTGCAGAGTGGTATTAATACTTGATCTTGATTCTATCCCTCTGATCTTGATTTTATGTGATCTTGATTCTATCCCTCTGTTAATGCAGCCTAGCAGTGTGTTGGCCTTTTTGGCAGCTGCAGCACACTGCTGGCTCATATTTAGGTGATTGTCTACTAGGACTCCGAGGTCCCTCTCACAGTTACTACTATTGAGCATGGTGCCACCTATGCTGTACTTGTGCATTTGGTTTTTCTTGCCTAAATGTAGAACCTTGCTTTTTTCACCATTGAATTTCATTTTGTTAGTTAGTGCCCAGTGTTTGTATTATATTATATTATATTCTATCTAAATGATAAAAATAGAAAATAGAAAATGGGCTTGTTGCAAGGCACTCAGAGTGGGCTCTTTTCCTTGGTGACTCTGTTTATTGCTCAGTTTAGCCTCTTTCCTTCCTTAAGACAGTTAATTTGTCAAATGATCAAATACACCATGACCTCCATGGTGGATATGAGGACAATCTTACTGTGACAGCCATTGATCACTATTCCTTCTCACACTAATGCTGTAATTTGAACCAGAGTTACAAGAGGGTGAAGAAGTATATTCTATTTTCACAGAAGTAGTAGTCAACTTGCTGACCGATGATAACAAAGTCTTTAGAATGGAGTAGTCACAATTTTAAAAAGTGGTTCTCAACCTGTGGGTCGGGACCCCATTTGGGGTCGAATGGCCATTTCACAGGGGTCGCCAAACAACGCAGTCTTGAATAGAGTCTAATTCTATTGGCTTTCAAAAGCCAATAGGAATTGTCCAGGCTGTCTTTGCCCTGCTGAGCCCACCAAAAGTCCCATTCTGCAAACGGTGCTGCACCAGTTGAGTAGTCCTCGACTTACGACCGGTTGGGGGTCGTGGCATTAAAAAAGTTGAGAACCACTGATTTAAAAAGTCAAAACATAGTTTATTAATAAACAGTAGGAAATATGGGAATAGGTTCATTGAAAATAACTTTAAAATGGAGTTGCAAACTATCTCACCTTATATTATGCCTACTTCTTTGAACATAATTCTCTATTGTTTTTATTGTGAATTATTTCCACAATGCTGTAAAGGCTTTCAGACAATGCATTTAAATTTAAATTTGTTTCTGCTTTTTGATATATTTCACCAACATTCATCCTAAAAGCTCTGTCCTTTAGATTTATACAAATTTAAATAAATATTACAAAAATGTGCTAATATAATAGCTAATAAAATGAACAGTCTACACTGTTTAGCATCATTGACCATTGGAACCAAACTCATAAATGGATTAAGAAGCAAGTAGATTAATTTATGTGAGTGAAATTTTTCTCTTAATTAAAACAAGTTGTTCTTGTAGATATGAGAGTTTATTAACTATGGAATTATGACATCTTTATATAACAACTTGTTTCAGAATGAGACCAAACGTTCTAATTCGTATGGTATTATGAAAGTCTGTGGTCTCCAGTGAAGCAATTGGTTTCTATTTTCAGAACAATAGAAAGAAACAAAAGTACTTTATGCTGCTTGTTCTGTTTCAATAATTTTTTTGTGATGCCAAAATGGAAAATAATCAGTTTCTCATAATCTTTCTTCGTTGCTTTGGAAAAGGCTATATGCTGTCAGTTCATAATTTTCTATTTCCCTGATAATAACTGTTCCAAATTCTTCTCTTAAAATGCTTTATATAAATACACACAGTTATATAACCCTTTGTTGGATTACAGTGCTAATGTTTTTGGCCTGGAGGTTTTCAGATTCTTTCTTAATGATAATTAAATGGAGGCACATGAGTTGTATGGAAAATATTGCTCCTTTAGGAATTCATCATTCTGACTAGTAAGGTGTTCCATATCAAAAGAGCAACAAGGAAAATAGTTAAAAAAATTAAAATAATAAAACATGGCAACCCATTTTGTTATTTTCTCATCTTTATTGCTACTAGATTTCAAGGAAACATATTTCACAGTATTAGAATATCATAGGATGCCAAGAGTTTTCTGTTATCTGGCTCTTTCTGTTCATATTGTCTGAGGCATATCATGATTATGCAGCTAACTTTACACCCACAATACAGAGATTTGCACAATGGAATCTAACCTTCTCCAGCTTGATTTTGGCTTAGAAAAATAAAATTTTAGTCCAGTGGATTTTGAGGATAATATATTGAAGTTTTGTTATTTAATTTCTTAAATTGCTTACTTGACAAATTTTGATTTTTAAAAAAATATTTTTGTCATTATTATTTTCTTTTTTTTAAAGGTATTTTACCTTCCAATGGCTTTTTGCATTCCACCTTCAGTATTCGCTGTTCATCTGCAGTTTAATCTCCTTTATCAGTTCTGGATACATACAGAGGTAATTTAGACATTTGACAATGCCTAAGCAGCCAAATTGGATCAATGTCTTGAAAACCTATGTGAAGCTGATTTATTATATTAGAAAATTATTTTTATGACTCATTTGAAAAGAAGCACAAGCTTATTTTTATTTTTTATTTTCTACTATATACTCAATTCTCAATTTATTCTCCATTATATACTCGGTTTATAAGAAGCCCAAAGGCACTTGGTTCCTGTTGTCATATTTGTTTGTTTTGTTTACTTTATATGCTGCCAATCTCACTATCCACTATCTCAGTTGTCTTAAAAAAATATTTGTTTGTTTAATTTATATGCTGCCCATCTCGCTATCCAAAGTATTTTAAACCATAGCAAGCAAAAACAATGTTCTTTTAGTATAATACTACCGTATGTCTTCACTTTATAATAGGTTTAAAACTGCAACACTATTTTTGTTATATCTTAAATATTTTAAGAAAAATAGGATTGCATTTATAATGAATAAACAATGAATCAACAATGATTGTTGATTTATGAATCAACAATTCATAAACAATGAATCAATTTTGCCATTGGCTTCCTTTCTTTCTCTTTTTAAAATATTTTATTTCAGTATTTTTTTTATTGAAAGTTTTTAAATTTTACAAAACAAATCCCTTCCCCAAACCCCCACCCTCCCGTACCCTCCCCCATCTTCCCCAAACCTCCCATACCCTCCCTCAACCTTCCCAGAGCTGAGTACAGGCTTAATTAAAATTTTCAAAGAAAATAAAAAATAGAAAAAAACTTAAAACACATATAAATCCTAAACAAATCTAAATACCTTAAATTAAACAAATTATCTTCTCTAAAACATAATAGTTGCAAACATTAAACACACATTATAATATACTTTAAACATTTTCTAGTATTGTACTTATATTATTATCCATCATTCTATATAGAATCCCCAAAACACAAATTTAAACATTACTTTCTTTAAATATCCATACCTACAATATAAGATCTAATCTCCCTCTTTCTTTACTCTAGAGCACAAAAATAAGCATATAAACATTCATTATACCATTAAGACTGGATACTCTTTTGAATAGTTAAACTAAATACTTATATTTAAACTTCTTATCTAAAATTTTCGTTCAATCTCCATAATCTTCTCTCCTATCAAGAAAAGAAAAAACTTAGAAAACATATAAATCCTAAACAAATCTAAATATGTTTAATTAAACAAATTAGCTTCTCTAAAAAATAATAATAATAGATCCCATAAACATAACTTAAAACATTAAAATTCCCTTATGCCTCTTTAAATCTTTACCAATAACAAATTCCTCCACAGTAAACACATTCCTTCTCTTATCCATAAACCTCTTAAAGGTAATTCCAAAAAGTTTGTAAATCTTAGTTCTCCCGCAATCTCAATAGTCTTCTAAATACTTAAACTTAAACTTCTTATCTAAAATTTTCATTCGATCTCCATAATCGTCTCTCCAATAGCCAGTTCCATCCACTGTAAACACAATCCTTATCAGTCTCTCTTGTCCATAAATCTCGAAAAAAGTACTTTAAAATCTGCCCTTAAAGGTAGCTCCAAAAAATTTGTAAGTCCTGGTTCTCCCACAAACTCAGGAACCAATACTTGTGAGGCTTCCTTAACCTCCTTCTTCTGTTGGTCTTTCTCTTTACATTTATATGTTGCACAAGTTGTCCTCTGCTCTTTCATCTCGACTTGTTGAGGCCCCTCAAACTGAAATTTCCCATTTTTAATTAATATAGGCTCTTCACACTGCAATTCTGCCCTTAAAGGTTGTTCCAAAGAGTTTATAAATCCTACTTCTCCCGCAGATTCAGGAACCAATACTTGTGAAACTTCCTTGACCTTCTTCTGTTGATCCTTTTCTTTACAATTGTATTTTATACTGGTTGTCTTCTGCTCCTCCATCTCTACTTGTTGAGGCCCCTCAAACTGAAGTTTCCCAATTTTCATAAGTCTAAGCACTTCAGATTGCAATTCTGCCTTTTTATCTTCCAAAGCTTTAAACGTGATAGGTGGCGATGAACATACCCCCAGGACCGAAGTATAAAAGTCTTTTGCTTTAGAAACAGTATTAAGACTATAACGTATCCCCAGGTAATTCACCACCATTCCAGTCGGAACATCCCATCTAAACAAAATTTGTCTCTTTTTAAGTTCGTCTGCTAAAAAAGCAAACTCCTTTCTTCTTCTTAAAATTTTAGATGGGATCTCCTTTAAAATTATAACATTTTGTGAAGCAATTTGAAACCTCTTCTTATAAAAAGCTTGTATAATTTCATTGCGCAGGGATCTTTTCCCAAAGTAAATTACCACATCTCTTGGCAAATTCTTTTGCTCTGCCACCACAGAGTTAACTCTAAATGTCTGTTCAATTTCACTAAGTATTTCCTCTTTTTCTCTATTCAAAATCACAGCAAAGTCCTTTGCAACCATCTCTCTCAGATCTCCTTGCACAGACTCACCCAAACCTCTGATTCTTAAAGCATATTCCATTTGTTTATATTGAAGCATAAGAATCTCATCTTGAAAATTTTTCATCTCTTTTTCCATACTTTCAAATTTTTCCTCCATCAATTCCACTTTTTCTACTACTTCTTCTACGCGAGAATTCAACTTTTCAAGAACAGAGGCAACTCCTTTTAAAGCCAAAACTATCTCTTGCCTCAAAATCTTATTATTTTCCTCTAGAATCTCTTTCATTTCTCCCCTAATTTGAAGTATAACATCTCCCATCATATCTTGCAAATCCTTCACCATTGTTGACTGTGGCAAAGAAGAAGATGAGGCTATTAATTTAGGTTGTTGCGCTGATGATGACACCGAAGAAGAAGCCACTTTAGAAGCTGTAGGGATTACTGGACGCTTTGGAGCCATCTTAAAAAAATCTTTACTCCTTCTTAGAAATTGCAAAAATTAAACAAAGGAAAAAAAGAAGTTAACTCCATAAAATCAAAAAAAAAATCCTTCAAGAGGAGATCATTATAATAAAAAAAGGAGTTCAAAAAAAAGAAAAGAGAGAAAGAAAAAAGAATAATTAAATAGAAAAAAATCCATTCCATTTTTTTAAAAATACAAACAGTACAAAAAACAAACCAAAAAAGTACAAAAATAATAATACTAACACTCCATTCCAATCATTAAAAAAAAACAAAAAAAGGAAAAGGGAAAGGGAAAAAAGAAACCCCAAAAAGCCTGCCGGTCGCCATTCTACCTTCCGAAAAAAAAAAAACACCGAAAGGCTTGCCGATCGCCATTTTACTTTCCCTTTCAACAAAGGAAAAAAAAAATAAAAAGAGGGAATATAAAAGTAAAAATAAATCTTTGAACTTAAAATCCAAATAAAATCCAAGAAAGCAAAAACTAAATCCTCTACTCAGCTCTGTCTGCTTCTAAAAAAAACTCACCAGTTAACTTTAATCGCGGAGGTGGTTGCAGCGGCTTGTTTTGTCCCTAGGGACAAAAGCAGCTGGGAAGCGGAGACAGTCTGAACTCCGTGGGAGCACTCGTTTCACCCCCCCAAAAAAAACTTTGGGGGTGCATAAGAGGCTCTACCACTATTCAGACACCTCTCTACCCCCCCCTTTGCCCGGGAGGGGGTTTTTGAACCGCTGAACAGCTGATGTCCACTGTTCATGGCGATTCAAACACTTACCCAGGAGGACGGCTACAAAGTAGCCGCCATCGCGCGCGCAGATCTACCGGAACATTTCAGTATTTTTAATATGCCAAAATATGGATTTGAATTTTCTTGATTTATGGCAGTGTGTTTTTATATTTTAATACACTTCTTGAACATGAATGATTGCATTTGCTATTTTCAAATTGTTATTTATTTTTTATATAGAACATGTATTATAGATAGTGGTCCTTTCCTTATCAGCTCTTAAAAGGACAGCTCAAAACCTGCCTAATATCTGTTAAATACATCATTACCACCATAATCGTCAAAACATGAGGCTAAAATAATGACATTTAAAACCTGGAAATAGTTTTGAGTCCTTTCCTAAATTGTAGTGGGGAAAAGGAGGATTTGTTTCAGCTCTGCTGGTAATTATTTTCTATAATAGGAGAGCTGCCAAATAGAATGCTAAGCTCATCGATCTCAAATATGCATCTTATTAATGTGTATTTCTTGATTAGACTCTTTAAATTAGATTAAATAAATTAATCAAAAGTCTTTATTAGAATCTAGATCAGGGGTGTCAAAGTGCCAGCCTGCGGGCCGGACGCATCACAAGGAAACCGTGCCCACCCCATTGCTGGCAATAGAGGAAAAGGTCCAATACGTCACGCAAAGTCACATGACATTGCAAGTTTGACATGTCTGATTAGTGTCTTTGGTTTAAATGTTCAATGTTTATAATCCTTGGGGGGGGTATCAGATGAATTCAGACATTAACGGATGCCTCCATATTATTCATGCCCTGTGCTGACTTAATGTATTATTATTCACTTTATAGCTTTGAGTGTATAGACCTATTGAAGTTACATTGAATTATATGAGCTTTACTTTGAATAGTCATGCATCAACTGCCCTGTAATTTGTATATTTCCCTTGTGTAATAATCTAAAATTTGAAAGTGGTTTGTTTTAAATGTAGATATTCATATGAATAAGCTCTATGTGTGCAGTACCGAGCATATGAAAACTTTCCCGTGAATAATCCCGAGCCAGTCTTTTGAGGTCTCTACATGAATTCATAGAGACTATGAGATTACTTCAGGGATGCCAGGCTCCAGGCATATGTGACATAATTAGATTGCTTGATTCAGACATACCAGAAAGACCATCTGAGTTGAGGTCCAATAGGAAGCAGAATCTCTTATCAAACATTATAAGTGAAATAGTTGCATTATATACCAAGTTCACTCATAGGTTTAGAAATGAGGGTTTAGAAATAAAAGAACAAAAAACCAGATGCCAGCACTCTGCTCTCAAGATAATTTATTACAAATATGACCTTGTGTTTCTTCTCTAAA